TGTTGGCCCTCCTCTTTGTAGACTGGACACTGGTTCAAGTTCATCTGGTGGAGTCTCCATGGCCTCCTTGATCAAGAGGACAGGGGACTACCACAATTACAGGACATTTTGAGAGATGCTCATAGTCCCCTGGAACTTAGTTAACCTAGGAGGGCAAGGAGCAAAAACTGTCCTTTATGTCCCTCTGACCAAATTAGTATAGGCCTCAAAGTATGGCTGTTTAAACATCCAAGAAGGTTAGTTCCACCAGTCTGCTACTTTCAATTACCATGTACCATGTAGATAAAGCTTGGGCAAGACCAAACGTTCTCAGATAAACCTTGCCTAGACATATGTTCTTTGATCTAGTTGTATGTATAATTTGTAAGTAGGTTGTTTGACTAATATGGTTCCTTCTGGTTTTTCTAAAACTAGCTATGCATTATTTATCTCTCGCACTGTCTAACCCTTCCACCATAGTTTCCCCATTTAAGGTGCCCCCATTTTTCCCATTTCTCCCTTAATAATACCCTTCTCCTATGGTCCCACCTCTCTTGAGCTCCTTCTTTCCCTTTATCCCCTAGGTTCCTTGTATAACCTCCCCTCCCCCATCCCCTTAAAATAACCCCATTTTTATCCATATCTCCCTTATTAATGCCTGTTTCCTACTGTTCTTCTCTTTCAGTTTCTTAAAAAGACAATCAAAATGTATCTGTAGGCTAGATCTGGTAAAAGAGCATGCCCATTCATGAATCACAAAATCAGTAGGGTCATTGGCAGTATTTTTTCTTTAATGAGATAATATGAAACTGTGTATACTAGAATATAGCATGCAAAGTAGGTGTTCTTACAGATGTTATTTAATTTCCATTTAGCATCAGTCTATGATGTGTTATTCAGAATGAGAAATTGAGACTGAGAAAGGTTGGCCATATCAACAGCATTGTCTGTATAAGAGCAATGTGTACCAAGCACTTTGGGTGCTTTGTGTTTTTCTCATTCTCCACAGCAGCTCTCTGCAGAAACAGGACATGAAGTAACTGCCACCATCACCCAGTGTGTTTAGGGAACCAGCTGGCCAGGCCCTGAGGCCTCTTTCCTCCAGTGCCTCCTGTCGCCTCCACATCTCCAGATTCATCTTCTAGGCCTTGTCCATGTTGTTCCCCTTCTTGGCTGTCTCCTCTTGCTCCCTAGACCAGCATAGTTCAGTTCAAATGGCAACAGTCTGAGCTTAATGGGCTTCAAAAGGCCCATTTATTCACCCACTTGTTCAAATATTTATTGCACTCCTGTGCGTGTGTATATGCCACACCCCACCCTGGAAAAGACAGAATTTGTGCGCTACTGTAGTTTTTTTTTTTTAATTAGCAATTACAGTTAGGGGAACACATAACAAGAGAGGGATGTCCAGGAGTGGTGTTTCCTCAGTTTCCCCATAGGGCGCTGCTGGGAGGCCAGCTAGTTGAAAGAGAGAGGCAAAAAAGTACAATGTTAGGACCCAGGGATGTAACTCAATTGGTAGAGTGCTTGTCTAGTGTACATGAAGCCCTGAGTTGAATCCCCAGCATTGTATAAAGGCAGGTATGGTGAAGGCAGGAGGATGGGAAGTTCAAGGTCATCCTTGGCTATGTAGGGACTTTGAGGCCGGCCTGTGATACATAACACCCTGTCTCAAAAACCAAATACCACAGTGCTCACTTGGTTTGCATTCACAGTGCCTGATGGAGCCTCAGCCACCACACTAAGTACCATCACTGTGTGCAGGAGCTTCATGAACCCCAGGGTTTGTTGACATCTCATCAGCACAGTAGAGGCTGGGTATTAAAACTGTTCTCTAGATTTTAATGCACAGAGTGACTGATTTATGTTTTGCTTATATCTCCCAAGAGAAGGGCACAGGCAGGGGAAATACAGGTTTGGCTAGGCAGGGCCAGGAGCAAGGAGAAAGTGAGGTGACAGCCTGCACTGGGGTCCCCACAGTAAAGATAAGGCAGGGGCAGAGTAAAAGTTTTAGACTGGGGAATTTGGACCGAGCACTTCTGGTAGACTCCGGTTTTAGTCCCTGATTTGGGGATGATTTAGGGCAGGGGAACGTTGGTGTGGCATGTAAGGATTTGCTAAGGAGGTGGATGGGATAGGATGAGAAGTGGTCAGCTGCAGAGGCAAGACTCTGAGAGTAAGCTAGCTCTGCAGGGACATTGTCTTCACAAGCTTTGAGGCCACAGA